TTGTTTTGGATTCTATTCGCTCTCCAAATGCACCGTGCCCTATCAGACTGCTGGTCCTTTCTAGCCGAATGTGATATCCAAGGGTACCAGGGCGATATAAGGGAGAAGGTGGTCCATAAAAAGCTGCAAATAAAAGACTGTTCTCTCTGCCCCGTCTCCCCTGTCCTGCACTGGAACGGCAGGAATGTGGCAGGCAGACCGGCTGGCCCTCGGAGCCTGCTGCCCCTACTGAACCTAAAAAGGCCCTTTTTCATTCAAAACAGGACTCTGGCTAATCAGGCCTGGGCAATGCACTCTGGGGATGAATAGGAGAGAGGAGGGAAAAAGAGAGGAACACAGGAGGGTTGGAGGGAGAAGAGAGGGAGGCGTTGGCAAAGTGAGTTGGCATCTCAGCAGGATGAGGTATTGGATGTCCCTCTCCGTGAGAGATAATAGGGCCCTCTACATGGGAAGCAGCCTCAAAAGTGTTCTTCACCCTCACATTGGGGTCGAGAGATACTGTAGGGAATATTAGAGATTAGAAAATAAAGTTTACAATTGTAAATAATTATTTCCTATGATCATAAACTAGTCAAGGGTAGCTAGTACTAGTACATGGACCGGAAACAAAACCATATCTTTAGTCATGTAGCCAAGATGGTGGGTTAGTTAAAGCACATTAAAAGAACAGTATGTTCTTAAGGTATATTTATGTAGATAACCTAATATAACGAGTCAAGTTGCACAAGTTGCCTTTTATAGTTGCCATCACTAATATTTTCTATATCATTTGTGAACTAATTCAATTATCTAATCTCATCTAACTTTGTATGAATTAATATTTAAGATGAGATAAGTAAGAAGTCTTTTATACCAGGGGTTCCCAACCGCCGGTCCGGGGCCTGGTGCCGGTACATATAGTAGGTCATTTTGTACTTGGCCGCAGTGGGACACAGTCAAAAAATATACTTCAGTTTTACTAAAAATAATTTTTCTTTTTTTTTTTCATTAAAAGATCATCTGGCATCGTTTAAAGCAATAGGTCATTCACACATTGTGTAACAGAATTTCCCACAGCGAGGAAATTCAGAAGAAAAATGGAAAAAATGAAACTAAACAATGCTACATGGTAGTGAGAGCTGCAGCAACGGGCTGCCACATAGGAGGCACTATCCTGCAGTGTCCACAAGTGTACCTGTTTGCAAATTGTATACATAAGGTATGGTATGTGACTTGATTAATTATCCTTTTTTATTGTGTCCATTTTATCAGAAGTCATTGTTTTTGGTTCTATTTTCAGTTTCTCGTGCACATATACAGAGGGTTATAACAGGAAGAGTAACTGATGCCCACGTTTTTAGGACCACAGCAGGCAGCAGGTCATACCATACCGCTCTCTGCCTATAGGAGCCGTTGCGCTTCACATGATGTAAATTGACTAAACAGTCTTTGGGTCATATCACCTCCAGTGATGTCAGAGGAAATGCCAGAGAGCTGAGGTAAAGGGCGGTCTCACGCAGTCTAGGAGATTCCTGAGCAAAGACCACAGTGACAGTGGAATCTCTGGGGCACCAGAGATAACCTGAAAAAGTAATAAGGACTCACTGTTTATGGCCAGGTAAATAGTCGACATATTTGAGTATTAAGAATAAACCCTTGACATGACAGAGAAAGAAAAGATCACCTTCTTTCTTTGTAATGTGCAAAAACAAATTGTAGAAGAGTGACTCACTGAGAATTTGAGTTGAAATTTCCTTAGAAATGTTGGATCACTAGGTTTGGAGTAACTGGTATTTTGATACCAAGTGGGAATCCACAATAAAGCAAAGCTTTGTGTATAAACATTTAGTTAACAGTCCTTTGCTTTGTTTACTTCCTCAGAACCAGAGTCTAAGAGTTATGTGACACTCAACAACAATGTGTAAACCCAGCAAAATGAGAAGCAGAGTTCTAAGCTATGTCTTAGCCTGCCTTTGCTTTGCTCCAACAACAAAAAAGAACATGAGGGATTAGCTGTTACCTGTACTTGATGTGCTGCACACTGCTGCTGCTCTCAGAGCTGTTTGAGAAACCACTAATGAATTTGTGAACCCAGTTACTTGGAAGGACATCTTGTTCCTGTGGAATAAGTGAAGCAAAAAAGAAAAAAGAAAATGCCTGCAGTGAAGATGAAATGTGAAGGAGAAGGGTTTGATTACTCTTTGGGATTCCACTGTCTTATTTTTGGCATGCGAGTGTACCGGAAAGATATTGTGGTTATAAGCAATTGGGTCATAGGTTGCTTTCATTCAATCAAGCAAACACCTTATATATACTGTATATATACACATATGTTATACATGTAGATATGTATATATGTACATATATGTTTATATATGTAATATATATATAATTTGCATGTGTGTTTGAGAGGTGAGGAGACAGTGTGTAGACAGGCCTGGGTGTGCTATCTCGGTGTGCAGGGTACCTGGATGACCTCATGGTGGGGCCTTCAGCAAATGAGGAGAAGCAGAAGTGTTTTGCTCTGCAAAGGGCACATTGGGAAAGCTGAGGTCATCCTAAGATAGGAACTGTGGAAACATTGATGCTGTTAAAAACGTAGCTGGCCACTGATGCTACTTCCCACAAAGAAACAGACTGACAGTAGGAGGAGGAAAAGAAAAAACAAAACATACTTTGTCTAATTTGATGAAATGGCTCAATAAAATCATGTTATCACAATCTGGTGGAATTAGCGTGTTCTATTTCAATGCATTCAATCATATTACTGATGTCCAATGTCAAGTATTACTAAATAGATTTGTCCCCTTCTTAATAGATGAATGATTAGAACTGAACCACATCTCATTTTACTTCTGTAAAAGTGGGGTATGCTGATGTAACAGTGCAGTGCTTTTACTAACAGTGAGTCACAACCAATGAGTCAGACTTTTGTTTAATATCCACAGATGTTTTGAGTGAAATGTTTTTTCTATTCCCTTGTTTGTTCCAGACAAAGGCAATGAAAGAGGCTCTGGAGGCACTGAATATGAATGTGGTGGAAATGACAGATGAAAATGCCACACTGGATGGAGGAGACGTGCTCTTTACAGGTAGGTCTGCCCATTGTCTGCCCAATCACTCAGCCCAAGTACAAAACACTGTGATAATAAAGTCTAAAGGAACTTTTCAGTTCATAGTTTATACAGACATAAATAATCCTTATTTTTCAAGGACATCCACGTGAACATTAGCTCCTCTGACTCGGCTCACTTTATTCACAGGCAAGTGTAGTGCAGGAGAGTTCATGTCCAATGTCTGCAGGTCTACAGGACTACACAAGGATTTTTATGGCTTTGGCATCAGCTAATAAACTGTGATCAAGGCACAGCAACAGCAGCACGGTGGTCTGTATTATATTTTCTGTACATTCTGTTAAGGTTATGTGGTGAGTTAAAATAGGTCAATGTCTTCCCCACTGTCTGGGCCGTGTTCTTTTTTTTAAAGCATAGTACACCTAATTAGGTTTCTAGACACAGGCTGTGCACTCGTGTTCCTTCCAGCTGAAATCGGTTTCACATGGCAGGGATAGAAACATTTCCTGTTGGCTGCACCAGAGCTAACGCCTCATTTTGTAAAGGCTCAGCAGCTACATGAGGAGCCCATTCCTGAACTGAGTGTGCTGCAGCATCGCCAGCCGCTCAGAGCTGACTTGTTACACTGCCACGCCACGCAGAATACTGTAGAGTCCACGGTTGTTGCCTTTATCACCTGCATAAATGAAACGAGTCCCTGTGGTGCAACCTCGGGTCATGGACTTGAGGTTTTGCTCATGAATTCACAGAGTTTTCTCTGTTTCTGTCATGTTTTTATCCATTTCTTAATTTTTTGTCTGTAGGCCAGGAATTCTTTGTGGGCCTTTCCAAACGGACCAATCAGAGAGGAGCCGAGATCCTTGCTGATGTTTTTAAGGTGAGGTGTCTTTACACACTCAACGTACACTGGAAATGTTGCCGAGTCATGTTTTCTTTCCTTTTGATGACAGTAAACCCAGTATAAACTCTGACCTCAGCACGGTCTGAGTTTCCATTGCATGGTGAGAGGAGACAGTACAGTACAGTACAGTACAGTACAGGACAGTAGGTGTGTGTGAATGTGTTTTGGCTGGACACGGCACTGACCACAGTAAAGAGCTACAGGAGAGAGAGTCAGAGCCATGAGCCAAGAAGGTAAAGCTCAATTCAAAGAACCCTTAGCTTTCTTAAATTATGAGCTGGGTTTTATATCTGCATCTCGAAGACTTAAAAATGGACAAGAGATGGGCAAGAAAAAATGGCAGTATTAAGCACAGGAACCCAAAAGTGGTGAGCAAATGAATAGAGAGAAGTTAAAAAAAAAAAACATAATTCTGTCATTGGAGAAACAGATTCACTTTTTTGTTCAGTCTTATGACTAAACATTATGAAATATATAAGAAAATAGTAATTTGTCAGTCTTATTGCCAAACATTTCAATCTCTGACATATTTTGTAAATATAGTACATTCATAAAACACAAAAGAGAATGATTAAAAAGTTGATTTTTTTTATTTCTATTGCTTCAGAGCGCCATCTTGTCTGGTACTTACTCTTTGTATGGTCTGATCTCTTTTTTTTTTCAGTGCTCGGTAATTTCAAAGATTTTTGTTTAGGAAATGAGTTCACCATTTTCTCCCTCTCTGACTAATACCCCTTTACAGTGGTCTGACTATGACAACCACAAGTGAGCTCAGCATTCTCACACACTCCAGTCACACATGACAAAAAGGGAAATGTTGGGCAAAATATCCCACACACACACAAGGAATCTCATAAGTAAAGAGGGTCTCACTTCCAGGTTATTTAATTTATTTACATATAAACATTTTTGGTGTGTGGAATGTGTTTTTTAAACTTGTCTCTTTAAAACTAATGGAGTTCGGAGTTGGGTCACGGTGATGCCAAGAGTTCAGCACACTCCTGATTGGCTTTTATTATTGTATTGTTTCCACCTTCCTGTCTGTATCTGATTCAAATTCCTCATCATCACGGATTCCTCGCTGTTTTTTGTTATCGTTGATAAGACAGGCCTTAATGATGCGTCTCTGGAAAATGAAACGAGGAAAAATCACTGGAGCATTTACAGTTACCATTATGGCCTTTTCTTATCGGACCAAAAGTCCTGTCTGTCACTGTTGTTTTTTCCCCTCGTTATCCAATTAACGCTCATTTTGTTGCCAAGTTTGTTTGTAATAGAACAACTGTGAACTTGTTGCCCCTCTTTTCTTCCCGGTCGTTGCTGGAGTCCATGGAGCTGTCGATAGAATCGGCTTATTCAGGAAGTAGTGTCAAACTTAGCATTTCCTTTTGGGCTTAACAACCAAACGGCGCTGACATTGAATTTACCCCCAAGAGGACATTTACGTATACACAGGAGAGTTGAGTTAAACTCTGGGCTGATTGAACCAGTTTTGTCATAACTGGATGGAAAGCAGCTCCTGATTTATCTCCATGTTGATCAAATGTGACTGGAAGTTCTAATTTTACACCCAAACTTCCTGCTCATGTGCAAGGCCAGAAAAGTTTAGATAACATAATTCCCAACTGTCTATTATAATCATCAAAACAACAGCAGGAAAGCACAGAGCTCAAGAAAACATCCAGGATTTGGGAATTTTAGTTATTCGCCTGATGAGCGGCCAAGTACAGCGGCGCTCTTTAATGAAAATGACCATTTCAATGACTCACAGAACTTTTAATGGAGCTAATGATACTGTATAAAAACACGTTTGATGGATATTAAAAGAGCTGTATTCTTGGGCGTAAAGCAGAGTCTGTCATGTGTTCATATTCAGGAAGTTATCCTGTAGGAGTCTACAGCCCGTTTCCAGTAAAGTCACTTAATCAAAAGCAGTGATCAGTGGGTTGAAAGTGGGAAATTCTCCCAGTAAAGTGACTTCAAGTCTGAATGAAGTCATTTGTAAAAGTGCTTGTAGGTATTATGCTGTAAACATGGTCTCCAAGGTTTAATATGTGCAGCATGTGGGATTTGAACAGACGATTGAATGACAAGTCCGTCCAGACTCTACTGTTGAGTCAAGAGTCACAAACCAAGAGTATTTTTTTGCCATTACATTACGTTTTCAAATTGCCATTTCAGATGGTGCTTCATGGCTCACAAAAATAAGGCGAAATATTTTGAACAAAACAACAAAATGCTAAACTGTATACAGTACTGTAGACTCAAAATGGGAACATGACGTTTAAATTAGTTCACTCTTTGAAACCAACTCATTTGGTGATTGATCTTTGTGATCTTTTGAGTTTAACATTTATTCTCTCTGTTGGTCCACTTTTTTGTCCATGGTTCCCCACATAAGTACCTTTTTTTCCCTTCTCTGTAAATTAGGTCGGATCTTCAACTCAGATCCTTTTAGATTGGGACAGAAAATCCTTGTTACTCGAAAATTTGGTCATGGGAAAAGTTACCAAAAACTGCAAATTTAATTTTTGGTTTTTCTAACCTCGGATCAGTAAACACGTCTGTTTACTTTGACTTCTCTGTAATGATCTGTCAGACCACGATTCTAACATTTTACACTGTTCTGTGAACAGAATGGACAGAAACCGAGGCTCAGTCAGACAACTACCCTCTTTTTGGGTTGCATCGTCGACATAAAGTGTGACTTTTAAATCACATCCAGTAAAAAGACCCTCAAAAATGAAACATTTTCTAACTGAACCTGTTATTATAGGGCAGTGGTTGCCAAACTGTTCCCATTTTTGTAGATAGGACCATTGTCAAGTCCCCCACTGCTGCTTCAAACTCCCTCTAAACTTTAAAGACTGAACTTTCCACAAAGCTGCTCCTGTAACAGAGCAAAGGAAATACAGTTTTAAATCGGTTTAAATTTTCCACTATGGCGCAATTAAAAAAAATCTGAAAAAAGATCAGCACCCCTGGAGGGCAGCCCCCACTCAGGCAACCACTGTTATAAAGGATTATATTTCATAGAAACACTGAATCTTAAACAACAGTTTAAAAAGGTTGAGTCATTTTCACATTAGATTTTCATTGTTGTGGTTTTTTTTTTGCATGCTTTTCCCACAATGACGGGAACAGTGTGTTGGGCAACGATAATTAAGAATAAAGAATAAATAGTTTCTGTGGAAATTTCAGCATTCTGACACTAAGACCCCCAGTGTGTTTAAACCATTGACGTGTTAACTGGCCTGTAACCTGTAGCTAAAGTAAATCTTTCCAATCAGATTTTAGCAGCGTGCTGTGTGATCTCTCTGTATGAGCCCTCAGTTTAGTCACATGAATATTCTTCACAGGAAGACAAACTATTCACACTCACATTTATACAAATGGTCCATTGAGAGTGAACCATTAACCTAATCCCTACTCTTCACCACCAGGGATCAATCCAGTGACTTTATTGCTGTAAGACAAAAGCATTAACCACTTTCCACCATGTGGCCCATGCTTGTACAATTTATGATTTCATTCTGATGTAAAGTTGAATTGTTCTTGCGCTGTAATGTAAAGTATATTGTCTTGTTAGAATACAGTTTTGATTTTTTTTTTCTCTCTTCTTCAGGACTATGCTGTGTCCACTGTCCCAGTGCAGCAGGGGCTGCACCTGAAGAGCTTCTGCAGTATGGGGGGACCTGGCCTTATCCTCGTCGGCTCCAGTGAACCAGCACAAAAAGCTCTCAAAGTACGGCACTTGTGTTTGTGTGTTCAGTGTAAACGTCATTCCACCTCTTTGCTTTTTCAAGCCATAGACATAGAAACCCCCCTATGCTAACCCGCCTGTTATTCTAATGTCCTTGTTATCATAAGCGTGACGCACGTCGATGCAGCAGATCTATATGTACAGCGGGGGGGCAGTCACGGCTGCAGAAACTGAAAGGATTTCTTCGAACAATCATTCTAATCTGATCTTTTTTCTTGACAAAAAAATCAATTTCTTCTATCAGAAGAGAAATATAGCTAGTTAGCCAAAATATAGCTTGGGGAAAAGCTGAAAGTTTGCCAACAGATTTGAAAAATGTAACTTTAAATTCATAATTTAATTGCCAGAAAAAAAACCTTCATTCAGAACATATTTTACAGTCCAGCCACACTGGGCCGTGTCTGGATTACATCTGACCCAGTTCTGTCCATCAATGATCGTTGCTCCAGTAAGACAACACTCACATAAAAATTCTGAATAAAGTAATGACAACATGAATCCATTACTGTTAAAATACAACAGTGATACCTTAGTACATCTACCTCCCAATACCATATTAATATCCATGTACTCGGTCTAATTCCTAAGTCTGGATTGTCAGACAAGGATGTAAGCTTCAGAAACCACAACTGTAGTTTCTTTCTTTTTCTTGGGGTTGATACTTGGCAGAACCCATCTGGTAGGAACATCACATGCAAAGTATTCAGTAAGAATAACGCCACAGGACAAGACATGACACATGCTGAGAAGCACATCAAAACCACCTGTCACTTTAATCCTGCCTCATTAATTCATAGTTCTCAGCTAATCTGCAGGGATCGGCCCCGGAGCTCACACTCTGGCATCAGTTACAGAGGTTTCATCCTACAGTTAAACGATCTGAGCTCAGTCACTGACGGAGGCGACTGAATTGATAAAACATTACTGAGACAACTGAAACCCAGTGGATGCTAAAAGGGACATTCTGACAAAGATCTGGTGCCAAATACATGTTTAATCTCCTATTGTGGGGCATTGTGTGTGAGATCATGTTTTCCTACAGTACACATACAAAAACTCTTATTTCAAGTATTATGACCAGGACACAAACAATTACAACCGCCAGCCATGACAGATGATTGCCTCCTGGTGTTTTGTCTCCCCCTACTGTTCCAGTACTACTTTAAGTAAAGTGAATGTACTGCATATCCCTACTGGCGATCATTACGTAAAGTGAATGTACTGCATATCCCTACAGGCGATCATTGTAACCATTATCACATCAACAAAATAGTTTAATGTGTGAATATATACTCAGGGAAAATAATAAAGGATCAAAACATTAGATGACTTGAACACTTTCAGACTGGAGTACACACAGTAAGTATTTTCATTCAAGTGTAATGTATAAACAAGGACTCAATAGTCAGTATTTTGAGGAGCAATTAGAAAAGTTCTAAGAAGTATTACATTTTTTCAATGAAACTAACAAAGCTAAAGCTGTCTGCTTGGCTAAAGTGCCACACACCAACCTCTGTGTTTAGGGATAAACACGTTTTATTAAATTTAAAGCCTTACATAGACTTAATTTACTTAACTTTAATGCAGTAATTAGCTGCATGTGTTGGGTAAAATTTAATTAGCCCTAATTCTGTATTATGTAACGCTCTCTTGTAGCAATTAGCCCCAGTTTTTATACCTTTAACAACCTCGGATTTATAAGAAGATAATGTTATTTTGTGATGCATTGGGGAGGATATATATATGACTGTTGTTTACATTACGTGTTAGTGTTTCCTATGTTTGTCTATGTTTATCCCCTGGGGTTAAAAATACATGCTGAGCTAATGGATTTCATCATCCATCCAATAAAGTCAGCAGCCTAAAATAGCCCCCTGTGCGAGGTGAAGCAGCGTCTGCTGGCCGTTCTCTCACACCTCACTCCTCTCACACAGTGCACCGGCTGTCAAACTTCACGCTGCTTTTAAGGCCTTTGACTCAGCCCTGTTTGATGCATGAGATCATTTAGCTTTCCTGGTCACTGTTCTGTGGTGATTCAGCTCCTCTGAGGTGACATCATTTCTGGCCAGTCCTGATCACATTCATCTTTGTTCATCATTAATGATGTAATGATGTATGAACATTTTCATGATTGTGACGGTTCACTAGTAAAGTACCACATTACCACCGGACATGTCAACGATTTTAATCCGCAAGTTTTATTGTGAAATCTTTGCTAAATAAGTGGCTGCTTACATTTATACCTAAAGGGAAAGTATGTTTATTTGTTTCATTTACTGTTGTTTTTTCTCTTTGGGAGCACTGAAAATGTAGCTTCCCTTACCTGGCCTGTAGATGGTGCACATTTGAAAATTTCAGTTTCAGAATTCAGTGTATTTAACTCAGTAAAATGGGTCAAAACCTTTCAACAATAATAACTGTAATAATAACTGTTAGTCTTTGCTATTTCCTAATTAGCTGATTAGCAATGTGTTAGCGTTGTGCTAAAACAGATTATGATTGCAACATTTTAAGAAGCCCTCCTCCTGTATAAGGTGCATTAGCACCAGGTTGGCAGTGCATTAGCATTAGCACTGCATGTGTGCTTATTTTAAGACATATTTCATCTGTAGAATGTCCTAATCACTGTTAACAGAAAGAAGTTTCTTCATCCCAATGTGTTTCACTGCATTTCCCGATGTATATTTTTGCACTGAACCGTTTTTGGTTAAAAACCACCCTTGATGACAGAAACAGGAGCAGCATGAAAGAAAACACAGTATCTGCTATTAATGCCTTGTTTTTTTTTTAGTTAAGTTGTTCCTGTACTCCCCTCTTTGTCTGTAAGGTATGTTTCTGCAGATGTTTAGCTCATAAACACTAAGAAGCACCTGATTCTACCCTGGTCATAACACCCTGACCCCTGCCCCGACTTCTACTTGTCTACCCTGGTCATAACACCCTGACCCCCGCCCCAACTTCTACTTGGCAACACAGATGTCTTCTCGCCCCCAAACTGACCAACCATCCTTTGTCTCTTTCAGATTACATCAATATCATGACATCTGCAGAGAAGGAATGTCTGTCTGTCTCCTGTGTTCTCCATTAAGGCCCCCCAGGCTTCCAGAGCGGTTTGGCCTGGAGAGAGATGTGGTGTAGCCTTTGGTATTGTGGCTTTTGCTTCTGTCTCAAAGTGTCTGATAGTCTGACTAACTGCTATTTTTTCTGTCTCTCTGCGAAAACCCCTGTGGACTCTCACCGGCTGCACTACCTTATTGTCTGGTGTTCTCAGCGTCTCATTCCGATCCCTTGTTTCCAGATCATGCAGCAAATGAGCGACCATCGCTACGATAAGCTGGTGGTACCTGATGATCTGGCTGCCAACTGCATCTACGTGAACCTGCCCGACAAGGGTCACATGCTGCTGCACAGCACAGCTGAAATGTTTCCAGAAAGTTTGAAGGTATCGGCCGACTCATTTTTCATCCACAGACAGTAATTCTTCTCACACACATTCATTTACAATCCTGAGGTTACACCTTTTGTACAGAGGAAAGCATTCAGGACACTGAAACCGGTTTTGGTGGTTTTGATTTAAGGAGCACCGCACTCCACTACTTTTCTTCCTCTCCAGACCTCAGAGAAAAACAACTGGCAGCCGAAGGGAAACTTTTTTTTTTCCTTAAACTACATGGTTGCTCTACACAGACCACTGCAGGTTAACCTCAACAAGGGCTGTGTTTTGACTCGGCAAGTTTTTAAAGTGAAGTGACTTTCTTTTTTTAAGTGTAGTCATAATCATTTCACTGTTGCAAAGATGAATCTGCACATAAATGACAATAACATAATGATAATACACAATAATACCTACCTGCTTAAACATAGATAGTTTTAATGTAGGTGTATTTGGTTTTTCCTAAAAAAAAGTTGTAATGGGGGGAAAAAAGGGACATATTTAGGAAAAAATATTTATAATATAAAGTATAATATATATTGATAAATATAACAATATAATTTTATGTTTATAAAATGATATATTAAATAATATAAAATCAACATTTGAGTCCGGCGCTATTAGTAGCTGAAATTTAAAAAAATCTTTTCCAACAAAACAAAACATTTTAAATCTATAATTTTTTTTCATAGTTTTAGGACTTTGCCCTGGGTGTCCTTTAAAATCCACCTCTGGTTTTGAGGTAGATCTGTGTGTGAGGTACATCTGGATAAACTCTGTCTGTGTCCCCCGGTGTCTCACAGCCACGCTGTCGCTGTAGGAAGACATACATTTTCTCCATTAGTTTTCTCATGTTTCCCTCAGACATTCAGGGACAGCTAGGTTTTACTGTGCTGCAGTTTGACATGAATGACATGTTATTGTCTCATTTGGGTTTGGGAAAAGCTCAACGGTAGCCTAGTTATTTAGATGCCTTGGGGTCACCTCACATCACAACAAGTCAGAGGGATTCTCACAGGATCAAAACCAGCTCTCTGCAGAGACAGTTCCCAGACCTCAAAATGTACTCTGTGGTTCAAACCCCAACCTCCGCTGGCTAATTTTAGAAGGAAGAATTCACAAAATGATGCCTTTTTGGACAGAAAAGTACTTTTTTTACACGTTCAACCCCCAAACATAAGCCCCCCCCCCCCCCCCAGGAAATTCAACTTAACCATAATAAATGTATTTGTGTATCTCATACTTCCTGCCTTGATGGCACATTTTAATGCCCCATTTGGTGCAGCATGTAAAAAGAAATGTGTGTTTTTCTGTGATCTAGTTTATTTTAGATTTGGTGGAGCCCACCAGACTTTGGCCTTTACCCCAGATTTGGTCACAAGCCTGTGTTTAAGAAATTGCAGCTTCAAGAAACTGGGAAAATATTAATAGTACAAAAGACGTAACATACAGTAAGTCCTGAAATAGCAGGGACTGATTTTCTAAGCCCGTCCAGACCTCGGTGTACAGTAGGTCCTGGTTGGTACATGTTTCCCAAGGGAACTTGTTTCTTCTCCCTGGGATGAGATGTAGATATTTATCACCCAGACAATCTGCAAAACTTCCGAACTCTAAACTTTCGCTGTCCCAGTCTCCGGTGTCTATATTTAGGCCACTCATGAAGTTACATAAGTGTTGCAAATGAACCACAGCAGGGGTCAGGAGAGAGGGGGTGTGGTGGTGGTGGTGGAGTGTAGGGGCATATGAGTGATTAGGACGGCTAAAACCTGGAGAAGGCCTGTTTCTAAACAAAGAGCCCAGTGAGGTATGTCACAAACACAGGCCCGGGTATAAATCTGAACCAGGGCAATTAGAGCGCAGCAGGAAATAGTCAAATAAAGAGACTCCTGGGAGGTGGAGATGCTATAAACGCTCTGTTATTTACTGGTGGTGTTAGTTGGAGGCAAAAACACAACCTTCCCCTGAGGTGGTTTTCTATACTGGTGAATTAAAAATAAATCACTAGGAATTCTTCATTTAATATAAAAGCTGGATTTATGGGGTTGTTACTCATTGCAGTTAGTATTCTCACATATATTGGTTATGGTTGGTATTCTGTTCTATTATTATTAATATATGTCCCTATATTTGCTAAGCAAATAAAGGATGTAGGATCTTCTTAAGACTATGAAGTGGTTTTGGATGTGCACTTCCAAACTACAGTGAAGTAATTAAGTAATATTGTCACTGAAAATAGAAAAATCCTCTTTTTATTAAGTGTTTAAATATAAATTACTGGAAATTGGAAAGCGTGTAGCGATCGTTCTTTTCAGGTCTTTTCTTCAAACTTCAGACAATTTCTATTTAGAAAACGTATTCCAGGAGATAAGAATCAGGAACTCTGACGGGAGAAGAACACATGCTGCTGACAAAATATTAAAGCAACAATGCGGAGAAAATCATTAGTAGCATATTTAGGTGCTGGTGTAATGTTGCATGTGTGGGGATGATAATGTGGCCGTGTTGTTTGAATTTGAATAAACCAAGCGTGGCCCTGACCTGACCGTGTCTTAGATCAGGACTTATTAATGTCATATTTAGGAATGGCTTTGAATCCATAATCTGGATCGCCAGAGGCTCCATTAGCCATATTGCATCATGAAATAAGAATTTGTTTAGTTGATACCTCTGACGGAGCCGCAAGGCCACACTCAGGATCAGGGTAGAGCTAAAATGAGAGGTTTTAAAGAGAAAAATGATCCTGGTTTGGACGTCTGGTAGGAAAACATTGGTTTCCTACTGGAGAGTGTCCACAGTGTGACACACAGCTTTACGACGGTCTTTAAGGGATGTTGTAATAGTTCTAACTCCCATTGTTTTAATATATTTTTGCTGCAAAACCAGGAAAACTTGGAAAACTGCACTGCAGGGTCTTAATGTCAGAACCACAGAAAATTACAGATAAATAAACACTGTTGCACAACGTTTATGATTCATCCTCCTCCAAGGCTCAGCGCTGCCTGGTCGGCGTTCGTCCCTCGCCCTGTGGTCTCGCAGCCAATGACAGAGTGAGAAACAGCTGGTGGAAATACCCAGCGTAAGATGTCATAATGTAATAACAATGTACAAATCCTAATTTATTTATCATGCATGTTTAAAACAACAGTCGGGACTAAGTAATGTACAAAGCATGGGAAAGAAAACAAAACACGGAACACAGACAAGAGACAACATCATTAGTATTTTAATTTTCCATCATATAAGATGATTATTTTGGTTTCTTCAAAAACAAACAAACAAGAAGTTCAGTGACATTAAGGGTAATGAGGTAAATATATATCTGACTGTCATCTGCATAATGATTGATGTCATAGAGTTATACAGGAAAACATGGGATTTACTTTTACTTATTGTTTATGTTTGGGGTTTTTTTTTTTTTGCTCTGTTTTCTATAAATTACGCACATTTGTGACAAGAGAAAGACCATCTAGTGTAACATCCCTAAATGAAGGGACTAATCCTGTTTAAGTGCAGACTTTAAAACACGTTTCTATGTATTACATAGACATATATGTACAGTAAGTACAGGTTTCTAAACAAATAAAAGTAAGAGTCATTCTTTTGTACGCAGCTCACTCCACAACATTTGTGTCCTGCAGGTGTTGGAGCAGTTAAAGGACTACACTCTGATCGCTGCGTCCAATAAAGAGAAGACCAAAGTGGATGGAGCCCTTACCTGTTGCTCTGTGCTGATAAACAAAAAGGCAAACATGTGAGAAAACAAGGTTTTTGGTTTACATTCTCCAGGTGGAGATTGTATCCAGTGAGGGTTTGTTGAAATTATATTTGTAGTTAGATAATGAGGAAATAAAATTGGTTAATAATGAGGAACCAAAAAAATGCTAACCTTCGCCGCTTCATAACACTCGTTGTTTATCTTTCCTTAAAAATGTCCAAAGTGTGATTATCGTAGTCACTATAAAGCAGTAGATGGATGATTTCGATGACATTCCCCAAAATTTGCCTTATTTGATAAAAATCTGGATATCTTTATATCTTCTTACTAAACAGACTTTCCGTATTACAAAAAACCTCTTCCTGCCTCTTAACACTGCAGTTCTTCATACAGTACCGTATGTGTACACGTTGCTAATGTTTACATGCATCATATAAACTGTGATAGGACCACGTGTGATTTTACTGCTCATGTACATGTATTTGCTATTGAAACATTTTTCTAGTAACATGTTTCACAAGTGCTGTAATTTGGAGGAAAATTTGTTTTTGTGCTGTGACAAATTGTTATTTAAAAATGGCAGCTGGGTGCTGTGGTTCAGTGGTTCTGTCAAATTTGAACAAAATTCAAAATACTGTCTTAGTTATGGGTAACACAGGATTGACATTTAGGGAAAAGTCTACTGCTACACTAGGTTCCCTGGAGGTGGGTTGCGAAATCCACTTGCTTCATGGGAGATGTAATTTACAGTAATCCAACGTTACTTATCTGTGTAGTATCTTATACACGCATGAAGTATGACCACTGTATTTAACCCATCAGTAAACATTAGTATAGAGTATGGCATGGTGGGCCAGATTTGGCCTGCGAGCCTTGTGTTTGGCATATGTGCTGTGGTTGAAGAAATAAGAACCATGCCAGTCTGCTCACATGAATTATGTCAATTTAAAGTTACAGTAAGTAGAATGTGGGCTTCTTTGGGATATTTAAGTCATTTTTACATAAATACACCAGAAGGCTCCCTTATTCTGTCAAGTTAATTGTATTGTTTATCTCAGTTAAAATATTAATTTTGTCATGACATCCAGTGGTTAAATATTAAATGTTTTCCCACTACTTAACATCACCACCAGCATTGGAAATGTGACTAAAGTATCTGAAATGGAAATATGGTCTAAATTTTGGGGGTATTCTTTTTGGTCGGTTCTTGCAAATACTCTATGTGCCAGTCAACTTGTTATTTCGATTTTACCTGAAGTGACCCTAAATGTGTGCAAATGAAAAATTTTTGGACCATCTTTTCTGACAAATGCCATTGCTTGTTTCCCAAATCTGGGTGCAAACAGCTCCAGGTTCATCACGCCATGCACTATGTGGACCAGATGAAGATCTTATTGTACATCCTATAAGCTGGATCTGTAGTGCATTTCATCATGGCAACATTCTGTGACCATCTCCTACAGGATATAACCCTAGAATATAAAAGAAGGGAAATGTTCTGTGTCCTTGCGAAACTGTTCTGAAATTATACCGAAATTGAAAGTGTGCAAAGCCCTCGTGGTACATAGAGTACATTTAGTCTGTGCCCTGACCCTGATGTCATCAAACGTGTCTGCAGTGAAAGTAGACCCTCCACACAGTGGCATTTTTCAGCAGTAGCTAAAAGGATGTTGGGGAGTTGTGCGTCAGTGTCCGTCAGCTCTGTGGTCACTGAAGGCATGTTTGAGGCTGGCAGATATGACAGCATAATACATGAGTACTGTAAATACACCAAGTACAGTAGGGTAAAGGCATCATCACATGTGAGACTGTGCTGTTTCTCAGTGTGATTGTAAGTGAAAGTTGAGGAAATGACATCAGGAGGTGATTCAGCCTCTCTCTTTAGACATATGCGTACAGGCGAGTGGGCAGTGATGAAACATGGAAAGAATTCCTGTTGGGAGGAGAGGCTGCTACGGTGGTAAACACCGACTCTGCTCAACTTTCTCTGTGTTTTCACTCATACCATTGACTTTTCTTTCACTCCTGAATGTTATTCATGGTTATTCTTTTGAGAAAAAAACTGGTACACTGTACCACAGTAAATATGATACATTGGTGTTAATGCCAGCTCTCAGTCATGTGCCTCACGTCATCACCCAGAATGATTTGATTCTGATGGTCTTCTTGTGCCAACTAAGTGAGCTATAAAGTGAAACTCACAATTTCCATGTGTTTGGTCCCAGGCAGACTGACCTTAACCCTTTTCCTACCACTTAATCAAATTATTTAATAAAGTTATACTGTGTATTTGAGATGCAACTGTAGTATGTGAATTCTGGACATACTGTACTTCAGACCTCATTCATCCCAGTTTCAGTGATGTTGTCTCAGGTTTAAAGGATTTATTACAACTTGTGAATGATTGCTATGTTAATTAGAAGCTTTCAACTGGATTTAATAAACACAATGAGCATTATATGGGTTTCTGTCCTCCATTTTTCAAAATTGGAAAGTTAATTTTCATTACTATTCTTGATAATATTAATATTATATTTTTTTGATGACAGATAACTGTAGCTAAAGTGTTTTTATTGGATTCCTCAAACCTGAACAACAGTCCCCTGGACTTTATAATTGTTTACTTTAGGTACTTGCCAATATACCCTCACTTCGACCCTTGAGATCTACCGCCACCTTGTGGGAATAAATGCAAAACAACAGAAAAGGTTGGTGGAAAGGAAATATACTGTTCAGCAAAGATCCTTTCATAGTTTCGGAAGGTTTTATTGTACATTTATGTTTAAAATGTATTTGAAAAGTTCAAAACAAACCAAAGGAATTATAATTTTCTCTACAATAAAGGAGGTAAGTTGATTGTCTTGAAATAATGCGTGAACATGATTGTACAGTATTTGTGTAAGCTTTGTCTATCCCCTATAGGGGGTGCTCAAGTTCCAGCCCAGAATCAAACCGCAGTCCAACTGATAATAACTGCTTGGTAAGTAAATAGAATAAAATGAAAACGCAATGAAAAATGTATAGTATTACAATTATAATGATAAAACCTGCATCCAAGTACATGTCATATATTTGATCTTAAACGCTGTTAAAATACTTAATCCCTTAACGTCATTTAACCAAACAGTTAAGTGAAAAATGAAAGTCACATAGAGGTTTATAATAACACTGAAATGTGCAGTACAATATACACTCTCATGTGGAGGTTTTTTAAAAGAAGAGCATACATTTACAGAAACTTACAAAAACACGATGAAAATGCACTTAAGGTTAACACTACGAAGAAAATAGATGTAATATGCTTATCGCATAAATGTTGTAGTGAATTAGGTTTATGGCCTCCATTCCATTCTGGTCTTGGTATGAATTCGAAGTTTAAGGTCAATGTTAGCACATCCGCTTTACCTTAGGGGCTTTACTTTAGCATAGTTTCCAACTAGATTGGAGTTGCCTGGTGTGGAGTCTATGGGGGACCAACGGACATGTCGACTGAGGGTAAATTAGTATAGACATTGCCTGTTTTCTTTGTATAAGTGAATTTTTTGTCAAACAGTCCAGACTCCAGAGCCAAAGGTAAATATGAACAGTTCATGAAGTCATTAGTATAGCAGGGAGGGACTACCTCCTCCCCGATCTTCTCATATACGTGATTGTTTCTTTTGGAGCAAACAATCAGAGTGTCTTTGTTGAGAGTGACATAGTCCAGAGATGCGTCTCTCACAGTCTGTCCACGGGCGAGAGCTCCCTCTAGTGGCACAGGCTGGGTGGATTTCTCAGACGGTTTTGTCAACGCTGAAGCACCATCACCAGATATGATCTCCACAATACATCCAGCGCTTTCTTCAGGCCACTGCTTTAATGGGAGTGGAGGATCCTGTGTAGTAATGCTTAATGGGAGTGGAGGATCCTGTGTAGTCAAAGTAATGTATTTCATATATTTACAGGAAATGACATAATACCAAGAGCCAACAGATATAACTAATACTGGATTATATATCTATAAATATTTATTAAAAAAATAATACATTGTATTGAGTTTTGAAAAGTATACATAACTTAAAGGTAAACCACTAAAATGATACATTTAGCATAAAGGCAGTGACCAAATAAAAAATAAATAGCTGGAAAAAAGCTCTGAAACATATTACACATGAGCAGAAAAGTACATTTATATAGCCTGCTTTGGGGCCATAGCTTTAGTCCAAACTTGTATCATTTACCTTTTGGTTGAATTAAAGTGACATTTATAGTAGAGATCCTGGTGAAGTTTATTTTAGTGCAGTCATTAAGAAGAAACTTGAAAGTTTACCCATGTTTGTCTTTGAATCTCACTCAGGAAGCCCTGAAAGACTTTGTCCAGGTCTGGTACCGGGGGCCAAAAATAATGCTTAAGCTTACTGCAAGAAAACAATTTGCCTTAAGTTATTTACTGCTCCCCTAGATCAGACGTCACCAGCCTTTACTGTGCAACAGACCAGTTTAATGACAGACAACGGTCTCAACAGGCATTACATTTCACTGACAAAATGCATGATGTAAGCTTTTCCAATTAATATATATATTTTTTTTTTCTCTTTAGCCTGATACCGGTCAATGGACCAGTGTTTGAGAACATCTGCTTGGGATGACGTGTTATTCTTTAATACAGTAGGAGGTTGATAATAGAATCAGTTCCTACCTGAGG